ATGCTTTGTAATGCATTATTATATTGTCGGCCACTGAAGGCGATTATGTTTCTGCCTGAGCATGTGTTTGCCTGTCATGTACCGGTAATATCTTCTTATGAGTCATTGGACAGATTTGAATGGAGCTCACTCGTACCGATCCTTGAACGTACATCTACAACTGGCATTCGAAGTCAACCCAATTCAAGACGGCCACCGCTGCTGAGCAACATAAATGGCAATAACTCAATCAAATGTACAGAGATGTGTTAAAATCCAATGTGGCAGTAGCTGAGAGTCATCCTCAACACACTCCCGAGCGTGACATTTCTAACTATTTCTTGAGGAGATAAGGGGATATGCATCTCTTCAAGGAATTACATAAGAAACGCTCCTGTTTAAACCATCCACACGCCCTGCAGTCACAAGTTGCTACATTTCCAGTGACAGATCTGTGTAAAAATGTTGACTTGTGATACAAAAATTGCATGACTGAGTAAAGATGGCCACTCCCAACAGCTCTGATGAGTGCAGGGTAGAATATTAAAAAAAGATAAATAGTGACCACTTCATCATCAACGTGACCTCCATGGCTGCTCTCAGCAGGAGGAGGAGGAGGAGGAGGAGTTATTGGCTGCTACGGGAAACCTGAATAGCATCATGGGTAACTACTCTGTGAAAGGGTTTTACCACAGGAAAACGCCTAGCTCAAACATCCCCAACCCTTCTCCCGCCACTCCTACAATACCTGTTTAACAAGCCGGAAAACAAAGCCAAGTCATCCAATGGTCGGTGTTGAGGACTCTTCTTGAACGTACAGTTCCAGGCTGTCAACGCCAATTCTGTTCACAGAAGAAGATAATTAAAAAAAAAAACAGTTAACAGTCGAAACCGGTTTGTAATCCTCAAACACAACGTATTTACATTAAGACAGATGCTAAAGAGGTTCACGGTTACTCACACGTTATAGCTTATTTACTCGCCGGCGCCTGGAACGCGACTCAAAACTCTGAATTACTTCGGCAACGTGTGGCGTTTTCCTCCATCCGTCTGCGAAACTACCACCACTTCCGGTGAGAAGCGCAAATAAAAGTCCGTTGACACGAAGCCATCACGTCTGCCTGCGATACAGATTAAATTAAACATTTTTAAATAGCTTTTACTAGAGTTTAACAATTATTTAATAAAAAAAATATGAAGAAAATGTAAAATATTTGCTTTAAACTATACTTTATGCTCTTATTTTTTAAGTCAAGTAATACCGTTCCGTTTTTATTTTGTCAAGCTTGACGCCCCTACTTATATGTAGTCACTGCTGCGCATGCGTAACCGATGATTCATATTTCTGCGTGAAGGCGTCATTCCGCAACATTTCTCACGAGATCGAATATAATAATAAAATCAAAAGTCAATTTTACACTGTAAGGACAAAAAAAATTGTGCTTCAAATACTGTTCGATCATACTGATTATTATTTAATTGCTTATTTATTTATTTATTTTTACGTATTTGTTTTAGCCTAAAAAAATGCTTATCCCTTTTACTGCTTCTTTTGAACGCGTTAAAGTATTGTATTCTATGTATATAATTTGTTATTTTTGCTTCCTGGCTTAATATATTAAATACCGTATAATAATATAGCACTTTATTTATAAAGCACTTTAAACAGCAGCAAGGCCAACCAAAGTGCTGTACAGCAAAAACAAAATATATTAAATAAAGCATTCATTAATATTCATCTTTACTTTGACAAAAGTTTGAGACTCAATCATAATTCCCCCAAACTATAAACAATTTTAATTAATTTAAACGTATAACTGCCTGTTTTACAATCTAGAAAAACAGTCAACATTAGCAGTTTTAACCTTTTCCAGAAGTGAAGATTTGACACTTTTTTTTGTGAATGTAAAAATGCATGACTTAACAGCCTATTGTGTTTTTGAACTATCATAAAGGTTTGCCAGTTTTTTGTTAATAGAAAAAAAAAAATCAGCTGACAAATTAAAAAAAGGTTAATAATTTATTGCTGTCGAAGCCACAAAACCGGTCTGTGTGCTAAATAAATAAATAAATAAATAATAATAAATAAGGAAACTTTCAAGCTACAGAATCTTGTATTGACATCACCTGTTTAGGCCAAACCAAGCCATTAAATCTCCTATTGAAAATACATTTACAATGATTGCAGTTTACTCTGCTTTACGTACGGCCTTTATTACATATTTCTGGGATCAGATTCGGTTTTGCTCCACGCTTCCCTGATAGTGCTGACATCTTCATTGCTGCCTGCACTTGTTCTCCGCTCTTTCAGTCAGCCGATCATTAACCACCTGCACAGCTGCTTCTTATTTTCCCCTCATTAAATCCTTGTTTGCAGCCTTGCACTTACCCAACACTTTAGTTAGAAACCCTTAACGAAGACAGGCCAATTATAAAGCTCTGTCGTAGATTCTGCTTTTATAAAACAAGCTCTGTTTTGTGTTGTTTTTTGATCAATCAAATGGTTTAATAGTTTAATGTTACCATTTTATGCAACATGCACAGTTTATACATTAATTTTTTTTTTAATTTGTCTATTTTAACCCACTAAGAGCCATTCATTGGAATAAAGAGGAAAATTAAGCATCTGTCTAATGAGCTGTTTTCTATAATTTGATTAAACAATCTCTTTGATTTGTGCCACTTCTTCATATTCATCCTCACATCTTCTGATTATATTGTCAGCTTAATCTGTGAGGTTCCAAGTTTATCAAACCTTATCTCGTTTTAATGACATTGTTATCTACGTTGGCTGCTGCTCAGCTACTTCAATCAAAAACACATTTCTGTTGTCATTTAAGGTATTTTATTGTCCAACCTGAGAGATTCCTCTTTTTATTTTTTATTTTTTTCCCCCCTCTTGCTATTTAGTCAACCATTTAGTTGTAAAAAATCCCCATAATACATGTTGACATATGCTTTTACATTGTCTTGGTTGCAATCTGCCGGCAGCTTTAACGCGTGTGTTGATGTTGGCAAAGATTTAATAAAGTTTTATGCTCTGCTAGTAGTTTGCAAAATGAGTCATGACACACGTGCACACCCTATTGTAACTGGCAGTCAGTTGCGAGGGATGAAATCGTTTTAGGAGGTGGTTTAATGAATGAATGTGGGGAATTAAATTTTAACGTTCGGGAGGTGGTTGATGAGAGTGTATATATATACACACACACACACACATATATATATATATATAT